ATCAGAAAATAACGCGTCAGAAAACGTATATTACTTAGATTGCCCCTCTGCAAACGACTGGCAGCTGGAGTTGAAAATAAGGTTTGCAATTTCCACAGTATTAGCGGGCGGCAGACCGCCGAACTCCAATGCCACCTCATTGCTGATGCTTCTCTAAATAAAAAAATAACTGCAGGTGTTTTTCTCACTGCTATTTCTTATTTTGAAAAATAGCTTCGAATTTTCATGTAAATAAAAATTGTGGTTCCTTCAGATATTTTTACATAAGTGGGAATTGCAGTGCTTGGGGGATGCCCACGGGGTGGGAAAACGGGACTTTGGGTAGCCGCTGAGAGATGAAAGGACTGGGAAGGGCCAAGGAGAATAAATGCGTTTTGTTCCCCGGAAAAAGCCAAGCCGTCAGCTGAGCTGACAGTTTTTCATTTTGCCAGAAAAGCGTTGAGTTGAGCCGAATGAAGAAAGGCAGGGGTGGGCTGTGGGTTCACTGAGGGTGTCGGTGGGCTGAGGTCTCTGAATGGCAGCTTCATTGTTTCAAATGCTCAGGGTTTTTTTGTTTGTTTGTTTGTTTGTTTAGAGCAGTGACTAACGGGGTTTTAAAATCACAGGTATCTCTCCATGTCAATGCTTTCTATCCATCTGCGTATTGTTTGAATATCGCGCTATTTAGACGGTTAACAGAATAAAGTAATCATTCTGCTCATCGCGTCTGTAAGGATGCTCTGTCATCTACCAAGCGTCTTTCGAAGGCTGTACCTTAAAAAGGACAACAAAAGCTTAAGCAGTGACTGAGTGCCACTGTCAGATTTGAAATTCAGGCAGAGCAGGAGCATTGGGTTGGTAGGTTTATCTTCTTTAACTATAGAAGCTTTTTATGTATACCAAGAAATTATCTCTCTAGTATATGACTTGCAAACAATTAGAAAGAAAGAAAGGAAGAAAGAGAGAAAGAAAGAGAAAGAAAGAAGAAAGAAAGAAGAAAGAAAGAAAGAGGAAGGAAGGAAGGAAGGAAGGAAGGAAGGAAGGAAGGAAGGAAGGAAGGAAGGAAGGAAGGAAGGAAAGAGAGAGAGGGAGAGAGGGAGGGAGAGGGAGAGAAAGACAAAGAAAGAAAGAAGGAAAGAAAGAAAGAAAGAGAAAAAGAAAGAAGGAAGGAAAGAAAAAGGAGGGCGGGACCAATGAGTGACATTGTCAGCAAGATGAGCTCAGAGGCAAAGCTGACGAATGCTGCAGGCCACCTGCCCGTCTTCAGTTATTCAGGGCGGTCCTGCTTTTCTGTTTGAGCAGTGGAAGAAAATCCTAAATTTAAGGGTCAGAATTGGAGTTTATCAGCTTCTCCCAGAAGACGGTGGAGACAGGCCAGGCGTGTCGGCTAACGCTGTTGGTCGCAAGCGGCCGAATCCACCTCTTTTACTAACACAGGACTTCATTGGAAGTGGCTCGCAGCACCAGGGGAAGGGTGGTGGCCCAGACCGGGATGACAGGAGAAACCAAGGAGGCGAGGGGGCCCACGGGGCTGAGCAGCAGCTGCGGCCTGGGCAGGACGCCACGGTCAGCTCCGGATTCGGAGTCCTGGGAGCATCCACCCGGCCAGGCCATCCCGGGCCTACTCCCAGCAAAGGGAGGACCGTCCACCTGGGCTTTCACAGTGGGACAGGCGTTCCGAGAACTCCACGCAACCACGCTGGTCTCCGCGCTACTGTGGGGCTGGGACCTGGGCTGCCTCCAGATGGCACATTTGGTACCCTCGGTTCAGGTTAAGGTGACGATAAAGGATGCTGGAGGCACAGGCCTGTGGCCTTCGGGCAGCAGAGGCTAAGAGCCAGACGGTTTTTTTTAATCTGTTTTGTATTTTGTCGTCTTACTTTTTGGTGCCATAGGAAATAAGAAGGCTTTGCCTAACCCACACTTATGAAGATCAACTGCCAGATCATCTTCTAAGGGTTTTATCATTTTAGCCCTGATGTTTAGACACGTGCTTCCTTTCGAGTTGATTTTCGTGGAGGGTGTGAAGGAGGGATTCTTAACTCTGAAGCAGCAATAATTGATGTTTGGAGGCAGACGTGAGTGAATAATGTAGATTTACTTTTTGTTCTCGGTGTGAACTACATTTTCCAAGGGCCCGCCCTCAACTTCTGAATTCTCTCCTATTTCCATTTAATCGCTTTTGGATGTTGGGAGTTAGTTACCGTTGGTTCTCAACACATCTTGACTGATCACCTGCGTGTGACACGCAGGGCAGTATTTAGAGTGGCAGTTCCCACACGGCCACCGTAAGCGATTTCTTTAGTTCGGTAATTAGAACTATAAAGTTAAGCTATTTGTTCATTACTTACTATTCATTGTTCAGTATTATTTAGAAATATTTATATTTCCCGCTGGACAAAGTAATCTATGCTGCCTGCGGTCACGTTTTAGGAGCGAGCCAACCGTTTTGTACAATAATTATTATAATAATATCAAAAGAAGATCTAATTCGTTGTCATCGCTATTGATCCCCTGAGTCCTAGTTAAATCTGGAGCCAACAAAGTAAGGAACAGACTTCCCGGACCGCATGCCGCTCCAATGGGTGCGGGACAAGGCCAAGTACAAGGTCTGCCCGTCACAGAGTCTCCCGCGGCTCAGGCTGGTTTCTGAGCTCTTTGGGGAGTTTGCATCTGAGCCGGAGTTTGACTCACACCTGTGCCTTTATCTTGTTCTGAGCCGTATCTGGAGCAGATTTTCTCTCGGAGTTGGCTCCTCGGTCACCTGTGTCAGCCGGCCCAGGCGACCCGGCTTGAGTTCTGGGCTCTCTCACCGAAGCGTGTTCATTCTGCCTTCCTGACACCTCTTTCCTCAGTCCTGCTGGCCCCCCCGGGTCCCCGTCCGCGTCGGTCCCTTCTCAGTTGTCAGCTCCCGGGGTCTGGGCTCATCCGGTTCCTTCGTCGCCCCGACGCCTGATGGGCAGGGCGCGTTCAGTAAATCGTTCCTGATGATCTTGACCAGGTTTTACAACCGTATGAACGGGACCCACCCTCGCCCCGGGGCGGGAATGATGTTAAAGGGGTTACTACAGGAGAAGGGGCCGCGGGCGTGTGCGTGCCTCGGTGGCGCCACCCTGGAGGGGCCTCCTCTGGACGGCGCGCGACAGACGGGGCGAGGTCGGGAATTTTCTCACCGGGGTTCAGTTACTGGTTTCGGCTGGGGTTCTTCTGAAGGATATCGGGGTCCGCGCTGTGCAGTCTTCTCATCTGAGGCGGGGATCCAGCGCCATAGCCCGCTCGGCGTCACCCCCGATCGCCATCCCACTGCCCCGGGCCTTCTGGCCCACGTCCCCCTCACTCGCTCTTGACCTCCAGTCCGTCGAGTTTCCTGCGTCCCTCTCGGCCTCACTCCCTCTCTGCCCGGTGCGGGTCCCGCGTGTGGTCTCGGGGACGGCACTGCTGTCGTCGTGTTTAGCCCTCTGCTGCCACTGCTCCGGTCCCGTCTGCCCATCTCCCGTCACGTCCAGTGCCTGAGGCTCCCGGTGGCTCTGCAGTCTCTCCGCCCCTGGAGTGTATTCCGTGCCGCTGCCAGCAGAGCTGTCGCGTGTGTGCCTGGCCCGGGGCACTTGCGGCTGAAACTCAGCCCTCATTCCTCCGGGTAGAAAACTGCCCAGAGAGGACACAGTATGGGCTCACGGAGGACCAAAGTGGCCTTTCCAAAATATCTGACCGATATACCCCTCTGCCTGATACGCTTCAGTGGGTTCCATTAGCTATAGCCCAAGCTCCCCAGCATGGAGCGCGGGCCCCCCACGGGCCTGTCGAAGCGAGTGGCCACGTGGTTCATTGCTCCAACTGGAACCCTTCTGGAAGAAAGGGGGCGCTATCGATAATTACGCCAGGACGGTAAACTGAGACGGTGGCCAGTACGGTGGCCATCACCCCACCTGGGGTTCCCTGCTGGTGCCAGGCTGCTGGTTTGTCCCACGGGCACCATGTTACTGACAAATCCAGAAGTTTCCATAGTTATTCTGACCACTCTGTTTGGAATCCGAGGATATTTTTGACTCTTTCCTCTGATTAACTTTGAAAAAATGAAATCGAAACATCCTTCAGGTCAAAACGTCAAGACCGAAATGGTCCACAGCCGAGATGATGACATCAGAACATCTAGTTCTGTGTTCTTTTGTGTTTCCGGTTACTTGATCACAGAGCTTTCTCTTCTTAAAACTTCTCTTCCGTCTTTCTCATTTTCCTGCCGTGTCCTGGTCTATTTCCACTTATTGTTCCAGACATTCAAGGATCATCTGCTCTAGTTATCTATCCCTGACAGTTCCTGGCTGGGCCGATTGCCCACCATCTTGTTCCCACAATGTCCTGTGTTTACCTTTTTTACTGTACCTAATAAAAAATATGTCAAAGTCACCTGTTCGGGCCTGCTTCACCTACAAGGCTATAAGCTTTATCAGTCAAGAACACTCTCTTTTTAATTTCGAATCCTCACTGCTACCACCGTGCTTGACAGATAGTGGAATCTCAATAAATATTTGTTGGTTTGGACCAATTAGAACTCCTTATTGTAATATGAAGTTAAATGTGTTTGTCCTTTATCTCCTGGAGAAGCGCTTAGGATTCTGGTGAAGATTTGTACATATCTGGAACTTTCATGAGGTTGACCTCTGGCGTGTTGAAGTTGTAGACATTATTATCAAATTATTTTTTTATACCATAGAATCATATAAGAGGAAGATAAATACCCATAATGTCAATACATGTCATACAGAAATTGTGAACGGTGGTGTTTTAAACTTCAGTTTGTCATATCATGGCCAAAATTGTCCCAAGAGTATTAGCTGGGTAATTCATATTTAATGCAACAAAGAGTCATGAAACCCTTTCGGAGATGCTATTCCGTTCCGTTCTTCTCCCCCCCCACCCCCCGAATTCTCTGGTTTAGGTATTTTGAGTAAAATTCTCAATGTCATCTCAATTTTAAGTGTTTGTTTTACAAGTCTAACGTATTATTTGTTCATCTCTCTAGAATGTTCCAGACGTTTAAAGAATGGTTTTGGTTGGAAAGATTCTGGCTTCCTCCAACAATAATGTGGTCGGATCTCGAAGACCACGATGGACTCGTCTTTGTGAAACCTTCTCATTTGTATATGACAATTCCGTACGCGTTTGGCTTGCTGATTATCAGACATTTCTTTGAAAAGTAAGTAGCGTTTTTCCTTCTCGCTCCTCTTCTTTGTCCCAGCTCTAGAATACGAGTTCACAGAATCGAAGGCACAAGCGTGACCGAGAAGCTAAACAAATAACAATTAAAAACGCCATCTCCTAGAGTCCTTTCTTCTTACAGTAAAGAAACTTCGGTTTGAGAGGATCGCAGAGCTTATCAGGGTCAAGGACAGCCTGGGGTGGATATCCAGTGCACCTTGCATATGCCATGCTGTCTGACAGAGGATACGCATTCCCGAAAAGGCAGTGTTAGAAGTGTCTATGACCAGGGAACGCATTACCATTCGAGAATGCCTATAAAATAGCAAACACAGCTCGTTAAAGACCAAGCTTGATACCGCTTTATCGCATAGTTTATTTTAAATGTTTATTAAAAGTTTTAATAGCAGCCCTTCGTTCCAAAGTATAAGAAAATCAAATAATACATATTTATACGCTTTCTCAGAAAAAATAAACTTCTTCGTTTTGTTAATTTAATTTAAATAGATATTACTTCCATCCTCTTTAAAACTGGACTAGTGCTGTGATAACAAGAGATAAATGTTCATCTGTAATCTCCGCACTTGTCTCTATTTCAAAAAACTGTTATTAGCACATTAATTTTTTTGGAGCAAAAAGAATATTCGGATGTCAAGAGTTGGAAAAACTTAAGACAAAACCTGATAGAGATCGTTCTGTCCAAGACTAACCGTAATGCAGATCATATGTTTGTGACCATTTGCAGGGTCCTTATCTTGAGGGTTCGTTTGACCAACTCTGCAAAAGGTTTTTTGCAAAATAACATCTTCACTTGGGCCAACAATGTGCTATCGCTCTTGGGAGGAAGAGAAAGCCCCTGGATACCACTAAACCCTAGCTGAGAACATCTGAAAATGTTCTTCCTTTCTGACAGTTCATTCTCCTGACTTTTTTTACTCATATGTTTGGATTTGTCAAAGAACGCATAAATAAACAAAGTAGAATTTTGCCACCGCGCTACCGGATTAGCTAGTTACCCTTTACTGTCCTTTACTTGTTTTTCTTGCATGTGTCTGGTCTTTGAATCTGGCATCCAGGCCCTTTATTTATTTGCATTGCAGACTTCCTCCTTTTCAGCGGACAGTTCCGTTTTGTTGTTGTTGTTGTTGTTGTTGTTGTTTTTTTTTTTTTTAATGTTCTGATCAGGACAGTGAACTAGAAAATTCTTTTTCTTGCCAAAGCAGCACAGCTGTGGAGGACCAACCTGTTACTGTCCGTCTTGGCCCTCCAACAACAATCAGGAAGGAATGCAGTCCTAATTCCTAGGACCGTTCTTGCTGCTTCTCAAGGGACTAAGTAAAGTCTATGTCATCTTTCCTGTGTCCTTATAACTGTAATTCCTAGTAACTCACCCTTAGCTTTTTCCATTTTATGACACTACAGAAAACAGTGTCTTAACCTCTTTTAAGGCAGCGGAAGGAAAGAAAAATGTGAGAAAGAAATCATGCTTTTCGAAGTATAAGTTTATATCTTTCCCAGGGCTTCTGTATCATTTGTATTAGATTAGACCACTGATATCATACATAAAAGATGAAAGGGCTGATAGCAAATGTAAAATTTTCTGAACTAAAAAATTTATGTAAATTCGACACTACGTTTCGGCATATACTATGGCATATTTATCATGAGAAAGCGTCTTTTGTCCTGGACCGTGTTTATGTTATGCCTTCTCATTCTATAAAGTGACCAGGAGCTTTGGCTGCTCATTTTTGTCCTTTAGCCCTAGCCAGGAGCCATTTACAATCGGGAAGTAATGTCCCTTCCCATAAAAGCAAGAGCGGAGAAGTCCGATAAAGAACAGACTGGCAGGTCATTTGAAAGGATTCCCTTTCCTTACAAATTTGAGTTCGTGACTTATGTTCGATGTATGGTCTAGAATAGCTGTTTCTAACTAGTTCATGCGGTCTCTTCTATGCGTTCTTTTATGTGTCTGGAGCGTGATTTAAAGGGGATCTAAGCTACTCAGACTTAAATCCTTGTGGAATAAACACATTATCTCATAGTAAATCATGGTCCCAGCAGAGTCCGAGGCTGGGGCGGAGTCGGGAAAACCAGAAGGCAATCGTTTTTTCTTTTACTTAGTCGTGTGATGAATAGATTGCCACCTCTACCATGTCCACTGAGCAAAATCGGGCGTTATGTAAAGAGGGGTAGGTGGAGCAATCCGAAAAGCAGCTCGAAAAAGATTGCTACTCACTGTCCCCAGTTGAAACAGTCTCTAAACACGCAGGTTAGACTTCAGTGTTATCTGAGGTCACGTTGCTGCAGATACTTTGTTCTCCCGTATAAAAACCCTCTGACAAAGTCTGGTCAGAGAGGCTTCGAACGCTGAGGAACTAGGAAGCATTCATGGCAGCTGGCTCTCGTTCCTATTTAGGAGAATTACTTAAACTTTATTTGCTTAATAGATGCCGAGGTCCGCTTTTCTTCTATGCTATAAAAAGATTTTTGAAAGGCGGGGAGAGGGAGTCTGGCATTGCCAGACTTTCGGCTCACAGTTAAGTGATACAGTACCAGGTGAAGAGGGGGCTCTTGGGGGTGTCTGAATGGGACACCCCAGTTCTGAGAGCCCGGTTCTGCCGCAGTAGCAAACCTCAGAAACCCTTTCCTGGTAATGAAGCACACTTTGAACCATTTACGTGGGAGCAGAAGTTCGTATTCTTTTTTCTTCCTTTGGCCTTTTTTTCCTATTCCATTTCAATAAAATGAAAGTTCAGGCAAGATCATCTCTAAGATTCTTTTAGAGCTAAGGCCTCTCATTTCCTTTCTATTTTCCGTTCAGTTTATCGGATATTTATTGTGCTGCTTTCTCCTCTCCTTCTTCAAAATAGATTTTGAATCGAGTATCTGTTCATGTTTATTTACGCTTCCGTTAGATGAAGTGATTGATTTTCTAGATTTATTCGAAAAGGAAAGATAATGCTGAAGTAGAGAACTGTATTTATATATTTCCTCTTTCTACTAAAAATGTCATTTCTGTGCTTGAATCATGGACATTTTAAAAACAAGACCACATTTCTCTTTCTTGCTTAAATTCATGTAGATATGCTCCTCATATTAGCAAGGGTGCTATGGACGTGTATTATCCACTCTGTATAGTTAGCACATAACTTACGCTCACGTGACCCTCTGGGAGGCAATGTTATACTTCACTTGACTTTGAGATTGACTGTATTCCCTTGTGGCATAAATCATCTTGGCTCGGTTCTGCTTTGCTTTTTCATTTTTCCTAATTTCTTCATTTCTAACATTTGAGGAGCTAGCACTGAGTGAATATGATTGGGAACCTTACCATATTAAACTTTTTTGTATTTGTGTTATTTTGCTACTAAAGACAATGAGTGTATTCTCCAATAAAATTTCTCAACTAGTAAGTTGGATAAATGAACCAATTCCATTATTTACCCAGAACCCTGTCAGAATACGTTTTTTTGAGACACTGTTAGTTTTAAGAACATCTTAGTTTTTGTTTTATGTAGACTTTTTAGGAAAGGGGGAATTAATCATATTCTTCAAATCATAACATGCTGTCTTTGGTCTGTATAGGGTTTCTCTTGATTGATTGGTTTGAATTAATTGTTTACTAATTACCTTTCATCCCCATCTCCTAGTCCCCTTCTTGCTGCCGAGTTCAGATATACTTGGTGGCATTTTGTTCGTATGTCCCAGTAAGCTAGGTACATAAACATAAATCGTATGTATTATTAGTTAACATAAATGGTATAGCGATAAGACCATATTCTATTTCTTTTTTTAAAATATGGCACTGTGTTTTACGATCTATCCACATTGCTCTGGGTACATCTGGTGCATAATTAGTTTGTTTTTATATGTCTCTGAAGTATATGGGTCGTTTCCAGGAGCACTTAGTCCATATGAAAGTTGAGTTGTTTTATACATATTATCAGATTATCTTAGGAAATTTTTTATTCGATTTCTGTGGTTATAAAAAAAACGAATCGGAGGGCTAAGTGATCATTCGGAACTAAAATTTCCAGCCTTTAATTGAACACAGAAAGTCTCAAGTACAAGCGTGGATCAACCTGGCAGAAGATAGAGCCTTTGTTAGAACTGGAAGATGAATAGGGACATATTATTTTTTAAATCAGCTTTATTGAGGTATGATTTATATACAGTAAAGTTCATCCAGAATCTGATGCATTCTGACAAACGTATACACTTACGTTACCATCACCACAGTTATGATATGGGAGGTTTTCATCAGCTGAAAAACTCCCCACAACCCCATTCAGTCGGTCTCCTCCCCAAATACGAGCTCCTGGCAACCACTGACATACTTCTGTTAGTCTAATTTTGCCTTTTCTGGATTTCCTGTAAATGGAATCGTATAGATCACAATCTTTGTGTCTGACTTCTTTCATTTAACGTAATGCTTTTGAGATCCTTTTTTTTATGTTCTGTGTATCAGTGATTCGTTGTCATGCCAACTCATCTTTCATTCTATTGATAGAACGCAATTTATTTATCCTCCAACTAGTTGATGGACATTTGGATTGTTTACAATTTGAGGCTATTATGAATAAAGTTGCTATGAACATTTGAGTACAGGAATTCGCGTGGGCATATGTTCTTATTTCTTCTGGTAAATAGCTAAAACGTTTGCTCTTCACAGACCTCATTAATGTTTGTATATGCATACGGTGGATTATCAGTCGGCAAGAAAAAGGGATGAATTCCAAATACATTCACACACATGGACGGAACTCAAAAACATTAGGTCTGAAAGAACCCAGATATAAGTAACTACATATGGTATGATTCCGTTATATTTAATATCCAGGGAAGGCAAAGCTATAAAAATGGAGGATAGATTAGTGGTTACCTAGGGCAGGAGTGAGACAGAACAGGGATTAACAGTAAATACATGTGAAGAATCATATTGGGGTGATGAAAATGTTCTAAAGCTGATTCATGGTGATGACTGTACATCTTGGTAAATGTACTTGAAAAAAATCACTGAATCGTATTCTTGAAAATGGTGAATTTTATGATATCCAAAAAATACATTGAGAGTTATTTTTTAAAAGATGTAAATAAAATGAAAAGACAAACCACAGACTGGGAGAAAATATATGAAAAATATGTTTCTATTTTATCAGATATATGTGTATATCTGATGAAGGACTTAAATTCACAATATATAAAGAACTTTTATAACTGAATAATAAATAACTTGATTTTTAAAACGGGTAAAAAGATTTGAGCAGACACTTCAACGAAGAAGATATACAAATGGCAAGTGAACACATGAAAAGATGTTTAACATAATTAGTATTTAGCAAAATGTAAATTAAACCCACTGAAAACTGGAGGTTCACAAAAATGGCCGAGTAAGGACCTGTGAAAATTCTCTCCTCCACAAAAGCAGTCAGAAAACTGGCAAACATTGTCAAAATCAACTTCTTAGAATTAAGAATTAACCAAAGGCTTTCAGCAGCCCGGCGAGTGTTATTCGAGAAAACAGCCTTCTCTTGGTAAAAACAGCAAGCTTCGTGTCGTGTTACCTTGCTCTGTTCCTGTCCTGTGCTTTTTACCTCTGTAGCAGCCTTGAACGACCAGCAGTCTGCAATTTCAGTGGAAAGCATCAGCCTGGCGGCCACCAAAGGGGACAGAGCAGCTTCCTTATCAGAGAGTTGTCACTGTTTGACTGTCCGCTGGTCCCCTGGAAGACACTGTTCACAAGGCCATCTTTATGTGACCTGACTGAGAACTCCCCATTAAGAAGCCTTTCCTTGGGGGTGTTCGTCTAAAACAATTAGAGGCAATTGATTAACTTTGGGAAGGTTTAGCTGGAAAGTAGGATGTCCATAGGGGACTTTGAAAAGTTCCGACATATTCTTGGAAATCAGAAGGCCACAGTCATTCATAGAGCTTTGGGCTTGCCTGCAGCTATCCACGTGTTCAGCAAGGACCTGGAAGGGCCTAAGCTCTCGCTTCCAGAAGACTTTGTGGCTCTGTGCAAGCCGGAAGTGAAGGCCAAAGCAGAATGGTCCACTGCCCTCTAGGCAGAAGAGTAAAAGGAAATAGAAGAATCGATCAACGCAATAAATCAAATCGGTCTAACAGACATCTATAGAACACACCACCCAATAACGGCAGAATACCCGTTTCTCTCCTGTACACAAGGAACATTCTCCAGAGTAGACCATATGTTAATCCATAAAACAAGTCTCGATAGAGGTGAACGGATTGAAATTATACAGAGTATGTCTTCTGACTACAATGAAATGAAGTTAGAAGTCGGTAACAGAAAGAAATTAGGAAATCAGCAAAAATGTGGAAATTAAGCAACATACTTCTAAATAACCAATGGATCAGAGAAATCGCAAGGTGAATTAGAAAATACTTTCAGATGAATGAAAGAGGAGAAGGCACCAGAATTTATGAGAGCAGCAAAAGCAGTGCTTAGAAGGAAATTTGTAGCTGTAAACATCTATATTAAAAAAGAAGGATCTCAAATCGATAAGTTAAACTTCTACTTGAAGGAACTAGAAGAGATAGAGAGCAAACTAAACTTCTAAGATGCAGAAGTTAGGAAATAATCAAGATTAAAATGAAAAAATCAATGAAAGTCATTGCACACCCAATAAAATTGCTGAAATTTAAAAACCGGCAGTGCCGAGTGTTGGCAAAGGTATGGAGTAACCGGAAGTCGGGCACGTTATTGGGTGGAATGCAAAACGGGGCAACCGTTTTGGAAAACGATTTGCCAATTTCTTATAAAGTTAAATGTACATTTGCCATACCACCCATCAGTCCCGTTCCTAGATATTTACCCAAGAGTCTTGCCATTTTCTTCATAAGTTACAACTTCTCATAGGAACATAGTAATTTCCGTAAGATAATATCACCAAATAAAACTTTTAATATCAAAACTATTATTCTAATCTCTGAGAGTCTTAAAAATGAAGCTCTAAGTGGAACAGCTTATCCCAATGCCTGGATCTTGTGTATAAATATACTTGGGTTTACATAAAATGGATTTTAGAACCGTGCGAGTCTCTTATTTTCTTAAGTTATCGCTTATATAAAAGGTCTCAAAATTTGTTCTCCTTGAACTTCTACGAAGCTGATGTCGGCTGGAGGTCGCCTGATGACGACATGAGCCAGTGACTGAGTTTCATTTGTAATCTAGAGTTGCAGTGAGTTTTCTGGTGTCATTGTGGATTTAGTCTCCGTTTTTGAACTTACTTTCTTTCCTATGTTTGCAGGTTTATTGCCACACCTCTAGCAAAAACATTTGGCATTAAAGAGAAAGTTCGAAAGAGCACACCAAACACTGTCTTAGAGAATTTTTTCCAACATTCCTCAAGGCAACCATCTCAAGTAAGTGCAAATTCTGTGTGTTGGGATTTAAAAATCTCCTTTCTCAATATTTCAGTCATCTGTGGCTTACCTCATCTGTGCGAGAAATCTCTTCCTGTTAACTGGCAACTAATTTGATTCATTTGGATTTTTCTTCTCTATGGACAGGTTCTATAACGTTCCAAGCGTAATATAAAACGACGGGTATTAATAGTTGAATTATTGTGTACAACTCCGATGCCGAACACGAAAAAGTAATGCCATCGTTTGAGTATAAAGATCAAAGTTTAATTTTAATGGTAGGATATATACAGCGTGTACTAATCAAGAAAGATCACTGTTAAGACAGAGTAGCCCGTAGCTGATACTTTTGATGATTGTGACACCATTAATATACGTTACACACATTATGAAAGTGTCCATTGAGGTCACTTTCGTGTGGAGACACTTTGTTTTATCCAAGGCCCCGACACACTCAGATATATGCTGTGCCTTTGCCCTACCCTGGAGAGAGAATTTTTAGGAGAGCCATAATTATCCTCACCATGTAGCATGTATGTACTTCATGAAATGTCATAGTGTGCTGCATATTCATGTACCATAGAAAAAGGTTTTAATCTAATAGTCATAAAAAAATAGTGTCTGCGCAGGTCTAGTTTCTTTATACCTCCACAATTAAAAGGAGAGATGAAATCAGCTTCTCCAAACGTGGCACACTCACCGTGATGAACACAGACAGTGATCACTAGTCATTTTAAAAAGTCAAGAGTTTATGCTAACGGACTTAGGACAGGTAGATTTTTCAGGGTCGTGAACTTTATTTGCTGAATTCAGTTGCTTCTGCCACGACCGTGTCTGTCCTCGGTGCGCGGGGACCTGTGCCTGAACTGGGCAGTTGGGCCGGAGGCAGAGCATGCGGTGTTGCTCCCGGCCGGCTAGCGCTGTCTCGAGCTTGTCCTGCTCCCGGCTTTTGTATTTGACTTCTTTTTTCTTTTTTCTAAAATGAGGACCGTGTGATAGGCTCTCTCCACATGTTCCTTATTTCCACGTGCCCTTAAAGGTGGCAGTTGTTCATGTAAATATCGCTGTTTCCACTGGCAACAATGATGGCTGAGCCTCATTTTACATTTTTTTTTTAAATTCTTTAATGTCACCATTCTATGTTTTTCAAAAGGGACATGATTAAGCAATGTTTGTGAAAAATTAGGACGCTTTCAGAGAGTCCTTGTTATCATTCTCATTCTCTGTTTCTGTTCAAGACTAACCAGCTTTGGCAGTACCTCGTGTAAAACGTGAAAAATAGTGCTACACTTGCTGTTGCAAGACTTTCAAGTCAACTTCCTTAGGGTATTTAAAATTAGGTAAAAAGTTTGATCCTTGTCAAGTTTCCTTACTATGAAGAGACAATAACCCTGTGACAGTTAAAGAGAGGCTGAAAGAGATTTAGAGACTAAGTAATCTTTCCTTTTCGTGACCGAGGTGAGGAAACCATGACCTTGGACAGCTCATTTCCCGCCAGAGGAAATGAGCTGTCCAAGGTCATGCGGCCTGTTCGTGGCCAAATCTGTAGCTGGCAGCCGGCCCATGGTCTCCTGCCCGGTGCTGTTCCTATTATGCCCAGGTCACTTCTTTGTCTGCGAACAGAATGTTAGGAATATATTTCAAAGGCTGGAAGTCATTGTTCTAACTCGATCGACACACAGTACGGTTTAGTGTAGATATAATTTGGACATGTGCAAGAGACAAAAGAAGAAATGTTACACACCAACCCCAAAGTATTAGAAACCAAGAAGGTTAAGGAAAATAATGAAGATTTCTCCTTTACATGACCCGTAGACTGCAAAACTGAGTCAGTGTTTGTATAGCCGCTGATCGAGACAGATCGTCCAGTAAAATGCTCACAGACTGAAAGCACTAGAACTTGGGAAGACAGAATATGGTAGAGGAAGGTAAAGTACATGGCTTAATAGTGATTTCAGATGTGAAACTAAAATAATCTCGTAATACCTCCACGTATTAACTTGGCCAGTGTCAGACAGATAGCGTTTCGTCTGTATTTTGTCATCCAGAAGGTCATAAATCTGTCTGAGGTAAGACAGGTTGCTCAGGAGACTCAGAAATGTTTCGTGCTGTTTCAAGATATGGGTATTACCTCTGACGAAGTATTCCAAACCTATAATGGTAGAACGTTGTCATGGTAATACATGTGGGTAACACATGACTTTCTGGAAACAATTGAGTATGCGGATCTGAGGATGCTTCCTCAGCTGTTATAGATGACACCAATAAAAACGAAAACATTTCAGTGTATACTGTATCGATCGATCCTCGGCCGGTTAGCACAGAAGGATATCACGTGGTATTGACGAGGCCCCGAAGTACTGTGCACATCAACTTCCCGTGAGAGTTTCGATCTGTGATTTTGCACGATTCTTTTGGGATTGTGTATGGGCAGCTGTGTGTCCATAATTTATCTACGTGTTTATGTCTCTCTTTATATATATATATATTTCTCTCTCTCGATAACAACTTCAAGATGTACTGTTGGGAGAGAGCCATGATAACAGACCAGCAACTCTTTCCAACAGATCAATTATTCTGTTATTGATAAAATAACCGAGTAACAGACAAACTTATTATCTAGCCCTTTTCCACAGCAAAAACACAATGAGAACCGATGTAGAAAAAATAAGTCTGTCCTTCTGGAAGAGATCTAAAGAACACGTGGCTTCGTGAGGCTGACATTAAGCCAGTTACTGTGGCTCACGAGGGCATTCCGTTTTGCCGGCTTGTCGCATCCCTAGATTCAAGCATTTTTAGAGCAAAAAGCTCTCTGGTTTAGTTGATTTTGCAGGTGAGACATGGGAGCGCCAGAGAGGTTGGTCATTTCTCTCTCTACTCTCGGAGGTTGGTTTTGGACCCAGGGAGCGAGGTCCCTCGGCCCCCGTTCCGAGCTCTTCCTCGAGGCCACACTGCTTCTCCTTGAGGCTCTGCCTCGAGTTTATCCCTTCGCTCTCCAGAGTGTCCAGGCTAAACACAGCGATTGTGAGGACAGACCGTGCGGTCTGTACGCTGGCTGCTGCAGACTGTCCGTCGAGATGGGCAGATTAACGGCTCTGTGCCTCGGCGTCCCCGTTCGTGCGGTGAGCACAATAATACTGCTTAAGGATGGAACCGAGGACTCAGAGTCGCACCTGATGCAGTAGATGTCCAGTGACGGTCAACTGCTGTGACCTAGTCAGTGCCTCTCACGCCGACTCCTCTTTCCAACTTAAAAGGGAAGATCACGTGTTTCTTAATTATCCTTGTGTCCCTTCCCATAACATCTGGCACAATTTTCTGTGCATGGTAGGTGACGAACGAATGCTCATTTCATGTATTAATAAAAGAAAATGCTTCTAGAGACGTTCGTTTCCAATAACGCTCATCCAGTGGATGAGCCAGTATGGCCAAGACTGACTTTCAACCAGATTCAACTGTGCTCCAAAAAAAAAAAAAGACAACTCAGAATCACGTTCGATCGCTGTCTTCTAGATTCATTTATTGAACGGATATCTGTAGAAATGATGGGATCATCAAATCAGATTGTTCTCAGATATGGAAAAATTCTAGTGTAAGGACAGTGACGTTGATTTGCGCACAGCCAGATCTCCGGAGCCTAGAATGCGGCCTGGCACTAGTCGGGGGGCGTGGGAGGTGGGCAGGGAGGGAGGCGTACCAAGCCTTTCTGGGTGATCGAATGAATAAAGCATTTAAAACAGTCAAACTAGACCCGGAGCCCTATCAGTCCAAGCAACACCATTTGAATTATGTCTTTCGTTTGGGGGAGTCTCTTCATGGTGGCAAATTATTTTACAGAAGGAGCACTTTTTCCTTAAATGGTTTTGTCCGTGGTCCAGCCACAGTCTCCAGCACTGGCATGGCAGGTGTAACGCGTTCGTTTGTGTAACGCGTTCACCCCGGGGAGCCCCCAGACCCTAACCATTCCCATGGGGCATCCTGCTGTCGTTGTGATTTGCACAGGGGACCAGAGTTCCGTGCTCAAGGCTACACAGCTAGGAAGCACCAGAGCTGGATATTCTGCCTGTCGCCCCGCCACCTGCTGGGTCCTTTCTTCCGGAGAGGGAGCGTGACGAACATGGGACTGCCCGGCTTGGGGGCGCGACCCTAGCCACACCGACCCTCCTCTCTCGGTGTCTGCACGTGCTCCCTGCTCACCCACGCTGTCCTCCCCGGGCGACCTCGCATGCCGGTCCCCCTGCCAGGACACTCTCCTCCCTCATCCTCTCTTTCTCGGGGCATTTTTCGGGGTTCAGCCGAAGTGTCACTTCCAGGAACCACCTGCATAGAGCGAGGTCCCACGGTGTCCTCCTCTCCCGCCATCTCACAGTTCGTGATATTTCATGAGAATTTTTGGTTTTATTTTCGTTTCTTCTTTACCAGACGAACTTGACCCTGGGCAGGGGAGGCCCATATCTGTCCCCTTCCTTTGCTTCTCCAAATGCTGACACACGGCCCGTGAGGAGTAGGCACCGATAAGGAGTTGCCAACTCGGTTTCCTCAGAAACACGGGAACAAAACAACAGTAAAAAATAAACAAACAAACAAACAAACAAAGAACAAAAACCAAACAAAAAACAGCAACTAAAACAATAACAGACGAACCCTTGCCTTATAAAGGAATAGGTGTTAGGGCATTTTAGGGAAACGGTGCGCTACGGGCTGAGTCCCGTTTTTGTTTGGTTTGGTTTTGTTTTTTTGTTTCGTTTTTCTTCTCTCAGGTGGAATAACGGGCTGGCAGTGCCGGAGGCGGGTGGGAGCTGCAGTCAGCCCTTCGCCAGGCCTCAGCCTGAGAGCTTCCTATGGGTTTTATCCGCTGTCGCACTATAAACCTGAACAATTACACAGACCGAACACAATAGCACAGCAGAAGCGACACGCGCACTCACAGTCTGTCTTGGGGTCCGGCCAGCGGGTATCCCCAGGGTTTGTTTTGCCTTCACGCAAGTCCACGATTGGTTTAAATTTATTCTGAGGTATCTGGTCCACGTGAAGAAAACCTGGCGACTTCGCATCGAAATTCTGGGCCCACGCTTTCATCGTGGGCCACAGCTTGGGGACGGCGCGTGTGTATTTCTGTTTGCTGCGTCCGTGTGGCTTTTGCTTGTCTCCTCAGCACCGAAGCTGAGGGTCAGTTTGGTGCGATTTTATTTTTCTCATAGCGAGTTGAGAGGAAGTTGAAGTGTTTCTCATACTCACATTGGAAAATGGAAGATCGAGAGGACCGGTGTTTTTAAAAAAAAATTACAGAGCTCACGTCACTGTGGAAGTCAGAGAAGTGAGTTTTAATATACGAAACTATTAAAAGGAGGAGAACTCGAAATCCAACCCTGAAACAGACCTGGTCATTTCTGTTTTTTGTCTGGCCCGAGGAGAACTTCAAGTTTGTGACCTTCGCGCTAATCCATCGTTGATATTGTTTCCAATTTTAATCATAACCCACAACTCCTGCTCCCCAGGGAGGAGCCGTCATCATCATTATATTCTGTGATCGTTATTTTTATGATCGGAATTATTTCAGAGCCCAGTTTGAAATAGACTTTACGTCTGATCAAACATGAAAGTGATGGCCAACTCCTATTTGCGTTTCTCCCGCATTATCTTTTGGAGCTAGTAAAAAAATCACAGAATTTAGACTAGTAAAATAACAGAACACGTACTAGCCTAAATTCTCACTCTCTCTTTGCTGCTAATTTAAGTCTTAGACGAGTTACCAGAACTCGCAGGTTTCCAGTTTCCTCATAGGAAAAATGAAGATATGGGATTTGATTGACATCTTAAATGATATGCTCTACCTGGTACCCTAAAAAAACTTAGGAGGTCCTAAATAAAATTGAGCTGAATGAGTGAGCTCACACATGCAATTCGAACATATGGGTTGCTACCAACTTATAGAGAATTGATCTCTTTCAGTAACTCAGAGTTCTGGGATGCTAACATTCTTCCCATTGTGTGTGTGTGTGTGTGTGTGTGTGTGTGTGTGTGTGTGTGTGTGTGGTTTCATAGCAAAAAAAAAAAGATAAATTTACTGGCTCAAGGTCAAATGCAGAATCTGTCTTCTCTCCATCGCGCGACCTCTCGTGACCCAATGTCACTGTCTCTTGACTGCCTGCCCGTCTGACTCTGCTCTTTATCACTTTATTCATTCATTTCATCCCTTTTCAGGATGATATTTATGGATTGGCAAAGAAGTGTAACTTGACAGAGCGCCAGGTCGAGAGATGGTTTAGGAATCGGCGGAATCAAGAGAGGCCATGCAGGATGAAGAAATTCCAAGAAGCTTGGTAAGAAAGGGTGTCTGAGCTTTTGAAACACGACAGTTTCACATGGAGCAGAAGGGGCATCTCAGACAGTCCTGCCTTTGGAGCAGGAGAGGTAGCAATCGAACCCTACTTTTTTCTCAGTCCAAACAAGCCATGAAGAAAAGCCGTCACCCAGCTTTGTCCCTTACCAGTTGGGTGTCGTAGGCTAGTCGCTCGTTTACCTTTTGTGTTCTGGTTTCCATCCCTGTGAAATGGGGCAAGCTATGGACTCTCCAAGATGAGCAGGAGATATTATATACTCATCTGGAAGTTCAGAAAAATCATAAAAATGCCTTAACTGGTGTTTATCTTTTCTAAGTTAGAGGTTGGCCCTAGTTCACAAGACTTTACCACCTGGCTCACGCCACCAACTGGGAGGTCTTTCTGTCTCACTTGGCTCATACCCCACCAGGCCCGTGGACGGTTGGTCGGGGCGGCCAGTTTCTCTGCATTTTCCAGGCTGCTTAGTGGGGGGTGGCGGGGGGAGTGGGGGTCTGGGACGGGCAGGCTGGGCCGGGGCACCAAGTAGCATTTTTTGCCAGAGCTGGCTACCTTGAATACATTCCGAGAACAGCGAGCTGCATCGCAGTTATTTTTGGTTTCCTTCGAACTCTGTTTTTGGTTTTTTTGATTGTTTGTTTTGGTTTTTTTTCTCCCCTGTAGAATACTGTAGTACTTCAGGCCACTCCCTTGGTGTCGCCAACTGACACCTGTGCAAAAATAGTGAACTAGGTCATCGCTCTGGTTTTGTTCCTCTTCTTTACACGTAGACAAATGCGTGCGGTTGGGTTGCGTTCGATGCCGCAGGCTGCACGTTCTACACATTCTGTTCCTTCTCTCTGCCTATTTCATAAGGTTCTCACATTGCCGAGTGACTTTCAACAGATATTTATGTGTTTCGATGGTGAAATAGATAGAGAGCTGATGTAAGACTCTCAAGTAAATAGACAGCCTGCGTGAGGCTAGGCTCTAATGGCTTCCTGTCATTTACCTGTATACTCCTGAGCACCGTCATCCAGGTATGAAACCGGTGGTGTTCAGAGGCCAAGTCTTTGGGGAGTCTTGAAACTCTCATTCCTCATCGCAGGCTTCCGTTGCCTTTCCCAAGATGGCCGTAGATATACGGCCTGGTTTGTCTTCTAAGTGCTTCTCCCTGATTTTTAGCTCTTGAGAGTTAATGTCGCGTTGCCACTGATATCAGCGTGGCAAGAGGGAACCTCTCTGACCCATCACCCCAAAACACTACAAAATGGAGCTGGTCTCACGTGACATCTTCCTGTGTTCCTGCGAATGATTCTCCTCTGAAAGGAAGTCCTCGGGCAGGGGCTGATTTTCTACCTCCGAGCTGAATCGTACTCCAGTGAAACGCTCTTCGATGTCCCAGCAACAGCGTGAGGCAGTCAGGGAGGGGGGCCAGCCCCGTTTAACCGATGAGAAGCTACGCGTCCGTCTAGTCTGTGGACCTGGCTGTTGGTGGGGCCATTGCGTTCCGGCCCTGTGATCTTCCCCTGATACGCCTTGTGCTCCCTCACGCTGTCCCTTGCCACCGAATGCTCCTCTTAGCAAGCAGGGAACCCCTGTGGCAAGGAACCGGGTTAACAGAGCCTGACATTTGGGAATCTGGCTGCTGGTGAGACCACTGAAAGCGGGCCACAGAGTTCAGGCTACAGGAGGGGATTTCAGGTTGCCATAATCAGCCACCAGGCACTGCAGAGGGTTGTACGATGCCTTCTCTGGACATGGCGCCCTCCTACCTGTCTGCGGTTCTCGATTTTAAGAGGGAAGGAAAAGTGGAAGGCTCGGTCATTGGCCATAAACTTCTCATCAGGAAGACGAGACTATCGCTTATGAAACCACGGCATCTGCAGTTACTACCCCCAGAGGCACATGGCCCTGGACACCTGCGGCCCAGTCACGTTTACCTGTGCTGTGGGCTTTCGGAGGAGATGGTGTCTGTGGGGCTGAATATGCTGGAAAGGGGCCTTTTAGAAAACTTAGGCGTGAGCTGGACCTTGAAGAATGAGTTAGATTTCCATAGGAAAAGAAAATGTGATCTGAAGGCAGCAGGAAATTATAAATGCATTCCAGAAACAGGACTGGGCCCGCAAGTAAAATTTAAGCTACCTCTTACTCATTAGTTACGTTACAGATTTCTTCCAAGTCGGAAAACTGTTAAACGTGGTTATGGGCTAAACGAATAGGCTCAAAGCAAAATGCTTTCATTGGGTCGGGGGGCTGCACTTCATGCCCTCAGCTTTGGGGTGTGCTGCAGGAATTTCAGCAAGAAACGCCCACCCTGGGTGTTTTGGAAACCTCAGGAACCTCACTTTCCAGCCCCGGGCTCTTCCAAATGACCCCGGCAGGCGGAAGCCCCTCCGCAGCACGGGGGCGGGTTAGTTGCGAGCAGCTTGAGTTGCGTGATTATGTCCTCGCTTACTTCCTGTAATGCCCCCTGAACCCCATTTCACAGTATTTCAGTACTTTAATTCCTAGTAGATCCTTTATTTTTAAGTCAAATTGCATATTAGCTGACCTCTTTTTTTGCTGTTATTTAATAAGCAATTACGTTTAGCAATGAGAGTTCATTAGAACAGGACCCAGTGACTTCTCAGTACCTGGCGTGTGTATGGGGGGGGGTACCCCAAGGTGAGGACCGGGTTGGCCCTGGGGCCAGTCCCCTGTTTGCTCTATTCCGCCTCTCACTCAGCCCCATCTCTGGCTCTGTCACCTTCTGTCCCCGATGGCCCAAGGTCACTCTGCCCAGTTCCTCGCTGAGTTTACCGTGTATTGTCATTTTCAACTGTGCTGTTCGGACCCGACTAGTCAATTTCTGGATTTTTTTTCGAGGGTTTTTTCCCCTTCCCAATTATTTTTTATCTCAGCCTTGTCTGGAAACAGAGGAACTTTTGCCACTTTAGGGTCACCGGAAGCAGGTAAGAGGCATCAGTAAGTACGTCCCCGAACCTCTTGTCGCTAGGGACGTGTAGCGGATCTGAAACTTTTTGGTTTCACGGCCCCTTCGCTTTCTTAAAAACTATTAAAAGACCTCGAAGAGTGTTTACTTGTTAGTCTGATACCTATCGATGATTACACTACTAGGAATTAGACCCGAGACATTTATAAAACGTAAGACCGCAGGACACAGGCACACACTTCAGCAGCTGTCAGTACAGCGATGCCATCGCATGTCGCATGTCGTGTGGCCTGTGGGAATCTCCACGGTACGCTTGTCAGGGGACGAGCGCAAGAGTTACATCACATTCCAGTGTCATCCTGAAAATATGTCAGGGGCCCCCCACGGACACCGTGACAACCGCGGGCATAGTGCGACGAAGCCCACCAGGACTGGTCCAGAAAGGTGTGAAACTTAGAATTTTATTCTTGGATCTGACCGTTTCTGTGCAGCCATAGATGGGTCCTGCGGTTTCTCTCACCTCCGTGTTCTTTAGTGTCCATCCTACCTGCTTTTAGGGTAGTCGTGAGAACGAGGCAATAATCCGTCAAAGGGGGCGGATTCTAGTACCTACTTCATAAGCTTATTATGAGGAAAAACGCAGTATGGCACACGTGCCTGGCACAGGGTCAACGGGTCGATATGTGTTTGAGAAACACGTAATGCGAGGTGGCGTGTGCCACCTCAGCTTATGGCTCCCTTTGGGGCCGGCAGGGCTTACCATCTCCCCTTTTTTGTATTTCTTGTTTGGCCAAGATAAGCAGGGAGCCCATAAATGCTCCCCGCATCTAAGCGTGAGCCTTTGCTGGACCGGCCATAAATAAAACAAGTTCATTTTATAAAAGGCCTTTTGGGTGTGTTTACGGTTTAACTTTCTGAGTAAGCGAAGCCCACCTTTTTCTCAATCAAAACAAGCCATGAAGAAAAGCTGTCACCTAGCTTATGTGACAACGTTCAGGAAACACTGCTGGATTCAGAGTCCAAAGATTCGGCCTCAGCTGTGTGACTGCTCGGCCGTGCTAGCTGGGGACACGTCCGAGCCTTTGTCAGCCTGGTTTTCCGTCTGCAAAGTGAGACTATGTAGATATTCTCTTTTCTTATTTTATCTTATAGGCAAGTTACACAAATGTAAGGAACAAATATTTTTTAAATATTGTTGCTTCAGCAATCATTAGATAAAATAACAGTAATTAAAAAAAGAACTTTTTACTTTGCAAAGCTATAAACATATACAAAATTAGAAAGACTATTATGCTATGTATCCATCACCAACTTTAATAATGATCAGCTCGAGGTAATCCTGGGTCATCTGTGCCCCCACCTGCTTCTCTCCCCCATCGCAGCTGTTTTTACGGGTCATATTTTTTTTTAGTTTAATTGAGATATAATCGACATATACCACTGTATAAATGTAAGATATACAGTATGATGGCTTGACCTACATATATTGGTTACAAGTTTAGTTAAAATTCATCATTTCACATAGATGAAAAAGAAAGATGAAAAAAAGTTTTCTTTCTTGTGATGAGAACTTTTAGGATCTACTGTCTTAGCCTTTTTCAGATGTACCACCCAGCAGTGCCGTCTACAGTGACTGTGCTGTACATCACACCCCCAGGACCTGTTTACCTTGTAACTAGAAGTTGGTACCTTTCGGCCACATTCATGCAATTTTGATTAAAGATCACTTTTAAAGCAGAGAGCAGACATCGTGTGATTTCCTTTATAAATATTTTAATATAGATCTCTAAAAGATACATACCACAGTACTTTTAAACATAATTGCCACACCAATATCATATCTTAAAAAAAATGTTTAATAACAGCAAATATTCGATTGGTATTTATTTTTTCTTGGTTGTCACATAATCTTCTTTGCGCTTTGTTTATTGACTCTTTTAAGTCTCTTAATTTATAGGCCTTCCTCTATACAACAGGGAAAGCATTCTTTCAAAATATGCTTTTCAGAGACAAGACTAAAGTCTGGCCACATAGAAACCTTTTCACTGGGAATTAAATGAGGACAAAATAAGTGTTTAGTTAATACTAATATCAAACCATCATTTATTTTGTGTTAGGAACTGGGCTAAGCACAATAATAGTAATAATCCAGTTGCCATTTATTGTTGTTTACTTCATACTAGACACTGCGATCGATATTTTCCATATATTATCTTCACCTCTTTTTACGTTTTTTGTTAAGTTTTGTTATTTGCATTTTACAGAGGAAGAAATTAAGCCTCTCTGAGTTTGAGTGACTCAAGCTAAAGTCATAGCCATCTAACAAGTGGCAGAGTTAGGATATCAACTTAGATTTGTCTGACTCCAGAATGTTCATTCTTTCTGTTATACCAAATGTTTTTCTCTAAAATGTCAATCACCTTTACAAGATTTTTTTTTTTTTTTGGCAGCTGGCGATTTGCATTTTACTTAATGATTACTATCGCTGGAATTGCGTTTCTTTATGATGTAAGTTGTCTTTTTGATATCTTTGATTGGAACCTGCCTTTAATCTTTATGATTCCTGCCTGTGATTTCCTTAGGATGTAATACTTCAAAAGATGACTAGATCTTAAACTTCTAATCTCTAGAATGCCTAGAGGAGTAGCAACTTCTGCATCTGTCTTTGTCTTTCGAAGCCTTCACTAAGCTTTGCATTTGCAAAGTTAATTTTTAAACATAATCTCTTTCTATTTCCACTCATGCAACCTATGCAACAACTAAACTGGACTCCTGACAACCTGGTGCATCCTCACTTTTGGATTTTAACACGTTTTAGTCCCTCTGACAGAAACGCCTTACACTTCCCACCTCTTTCTCTGCCTGTCACATTTCATCCAGTCCCATATCAGATGCCACTGTTCCATGAAGACTTTCATCATTCACCCATCAAAAACAAAATCTCTTCTTTCCATATTCCCTTTGCATCGTCTGTTTAAGTACTGATTAAACGATTATCTCATTAAGTGACGTGTAAATGTAATAGTAAATCGTTCACAGAAAATAGAAGATAATTGGCTTTTAGAGACTTCTCTCAAGATTCTTTTAAGATTTCTCTTAGGATATTTTATTGTCGCAGATACATCAAGATATTTTTATTACTACGGAAGCAGTCATCTAATTGGTTCTCATAATTTAACAATCTCGTTAGAAATTATTCAGAATGATTCTTTGAAATAATTTGCTCTGTGAGATAGGACCGATTTTGGTCCCAGACGCACTAGAAATTGTGAATGTCGCGGTGGCGTTGTATAGGAACATGTGTGAAAACCTACGGAGGGAGTGAGATGCTCAGCACCAGCAACAGAAAGGTGACAAAAATGCATTTACTGTGGTGTTTGCCACCCATCCGTGACATCAGCAAGAGTTTATGTTTTCTGTCGAAATCAGCCTTTGACTTGGACAAACTTATTTTTTCTCACTCGGCTCCTTGTCTTTTCAGAAACCTTGGGTATATGACCTCTGGGAGGTGTGGAATGGCTATCCAAAACAGGTAAGTCCCTCCGTTACTTCAGTGATCAGACCCCTCACATTGTCTGCTGATATAGGTGCTTTATATTAACCCCGTGGGAATTGGGATAGGAGAATTGGCACAAATTTTGATATTCTGGCAACAGTATTGTAAGTAACAAGCTTTCCTTTATTTCCGACAGTAACAAGCTATCCTTTATCTCCGACCCAGTGGTCTCATATTTTCTATCAGGATTCATGGAACTGGCAAGCTAACTTGCAAGTAGGATAAAATCAAACTCTTCCTTGTTCTGGAATTTCCTACTTCTATGTTCTCCAGTTCACTAGTGATTTTCTCAGCGGTGTCTAATCTACTATTAAACACATCTTTTGAGTTCTCAATTTTAGTTATTGTACTTTTCAGTTTTCAAATTTTCATTTAGTTCTTTTTTTTTTTTTTATGGATTCCAGTTTTCTATTGAATTGTCCCACATTTTAACCAAGTATTTAGAGTTCTCTTAAAGTTCAAGTCTGAGAAGCCCAATATCTTTATCACCCATGTGTCTGTTCTCTTTCTTATCCTGTACCTTTATGCTTGCTAACATTTGATTGAATGACAGACGTTGTTTATGAAAATTTATAGATGCTCAGGATGATATTACCTTCCTCCTAAGAGAATCGTCTTTCACCTCCGTTAGGCAATTAAAGTAGAGACAGATCACCTATATGTTTTTCTGTGACTGAGCTGATTCACTGTGGACTCCAGTCTTTTCGTGAGGGCAGATGTATTTACAACTCACCCATCTTCCTAGGATGTTTCTTATATTGGTTTTAAATAAAAGATAATAGGTTCTGGTCAAGATGACTAAGTAGGTGGACGCTGTTCTTGCTTCCTCCCATGACAGCATTAAAATAATAACTAAAATATATAATAATCACCCTGAAGAACCATTTGAAGACGAGATGAACGGAAGTCCAATAACTAAAGATATAAAGAAGGAGCCATCTCAAGACTGATAGGAGAGGTGGAGACAAGAAGCAAGGTTGGCCTTGCACCCACATGTGATGGTGGAGAATAAGTAGGGCTATCTCGGCTGTAGATGTCCCCCTGAACAGTGAGGGGCCCAAGCCCCACAACATCTGGCTGTGAAAGTCAGCCATCTGTCTGGGTGAGATTGAAGGCAATGGGAAATCCAGGCATCCTCTTAAAGGGCCCGCACACAAACTCTTACCCTTAGATGCTCACCCTGGGCTCTGGCAGAAGAACAGTGCCTACGGAAGTGCCAGAGTCATACAGTGAGAGACTGAGTGGCATCAGGAAAAGGGCTGGATAGACAGCTGCCATTGTCCTCATGTGGAGCCCCTCACCCCTCTCGCCCCAGCCAATCTGAATTTCCATTGGCCTGGTGAACCCCATTCACTCCACCCTCGTGACTGTCTGGGACTCCGCCCCACTCAACTTATGCAACGCCAGAGTCTTTTTTGTTCCTGGCAGGCAGCCCTTGATGACCCATATTGCAGTTTTTCTTGGACAACTCTTGGGTGAGCTGCAGGCCCCAGGTGGGCAGTGGCTGGCCTCGGTGTGCCCTGAGACTTTTAAACAGAGAGGCCCCAGGCTCAGCACTGGCACCACATGTGAATCTGCATGACCCATTGAAAACCACTTGCTCCATGCTGGTGACTCCCTGACATCCTGTGCCACCCAACTCCCACACCACCCATATCACCCAAGGCTCTTTCAGCAACTGAGCCTTACAGACAGCTGGCAGGTGGTAGCAGGTGTAGGGGTTCTCTGGGACTTTTGCTAAGCTGAGCCAAGCCTGGTACTAGTGACGGCCAGCCTTGATTCGCAACGTGACCTCTCCCACATGCCAGGTTCAGCACAGGCAGCAATCAACTATGGATCACTTTGTAACCCCTACCTGGTAACCCCGGATAAGTCACAGGCAATGGCTGACGTTGGCCTCCACAGGAGCCCTTTCCAAGCGGCCCCCAAACCAATACACCTGGTAGCCAGCTTCAAACCGTAACAGAGTACCACCTGATTTGCCCAAGTGGCACACCCAAAGAGTGGTCTCAGCAGGTACCTGAGCCTACTGGGGGGAATTCCCATGCCATGGGATCAGCCGCCACACAAGAGCTCATAGGCTGTGGGCGTGGCCAGTCCTCAGCCAGTCAGCCTGAGGGTCAGTCCCACCCACTGATGTGCCAACAGCAATCAAGGCTCAACTATAGCAGGAAGGCACACCCAATCCTCACAAGGGACACACCTGGAGAATCTGACTCTGTGCTCCTGAGCCACATAGGACACCGACCACATAAGGCCACCCTGCCAATCCTGGGAGACATAGCAGATCTACCTAACACATAGAAACAAACACTGAGAGGTAGCCAAAATGAGTAAACAAACAAACAAAAAAACACAAGTACCAAATGAAAGAACAGGAGAAAACTCCAGAAGAAGAACTAAATGAAATGGAGGTAAGCAATTTATCAGATACAGAGTTCAAAACAATAATCATAAAGATGCTTAGATAGACCACATATTAGGCCATGAAACAAGTATCAATAAATTTAAGAAGATTGAAATCATACCAAGCCTCTCGTCCGATCACAATGGTATGCAACTAGAAATCATGTACAAGAAAAAAACTGAATAACACAAACACGTGCAGGCTAAGTCATGTGCTACTATGCAAGGAATGAGTTCACAATGAAATCAAAAGTTACCTTGAGAAAAATGAAGATGAAAATATAATGACCCAAAATTTATGGGACACGGCAAAAGTAGTCCTAATTGAGAAATTCATAGCAATATAGGCCCTACCTCAAGAAACAAGGAAAAGCTCTAATAAGCAGTCTGATCTTATACCTAAAGAAACTAGAAAAAGAACCACAGCAAAAGCCCAAAGTGAGTAGAAGGAAAGAAATAATAAAGATCAGAATGGAAATAAATAAAATAGAGTCTAAAAAAAAAATTCAGAAGATCGGTGAAACCAAGAGCTGGTTCTTTGAAAAGATAAACAAAATTGATAAAGCTTTAACCAAATTTGTCAAGAAAAAAAGAGAGAAGACCCAAATAAATACTATCGGAAATGAACGTGAAAACTGACACCACAGAAATACAAAGGATGATAAGAAAAATACTACATACAATTATATGTCAACAAAGTTGACAATCTGGAGGAAATGGGTACCTTCCTAGAAACAAACAATCTTCCAAGACTAAATCAAGAAGAAACAAAATCTGAATAGACCAGTCGCTACTAACGAAATCAAATTAGTAATCAAAAAATTCCCCACAAATAGAAGTCCTGGACCAGATGGATTTTGCCAAGCATTCAAAGAATAATTAACACCTATCCTTCTCAGACTATTCTAAAAAATTTAAGCTGATGGAAGGCTCCCAACCTCATTTTAGGATGCCACTACTACCCTGATTCCAAAGCCAGACAAAGAAATTACCAAAAAAAAAAAAAAAATTTATAAATTACTATCCCTGATGAATATAAATGCAAAAATTCTCAACTAAATATTAGCAAACTAAATTCAAGAATACATTCAAAAGATCATACGCCATGATCAAGTGGGATTTATTCCTGGGATGACGGGTTGGTTCAACATCTGTAAATCAATTAACGTGAACAAAATGAAGGATAAAAATATCGTATGACCATATCAAAGATGCAGAAAAAGCATTTGATAAAGTCCGGCATCCATCTATGATAAAAACTTTGAACAAAGTGGGAATAAGGAGGACATAACTCAACATACTAAGGCCGTGTATGACAAATCTGCAGCTAACATTACATACAGCGGTGAAAAGCTGAAAGCATTTTCCTTATGATCAGGAACAAAACAAGGATGTTCACTTTCACCGCTTTTATTCAACATTGTATTGGATATTCGAGCCATAGCAGTCAGACAAGAAAAAGAAATAGGAGGCATCCAAATTGGAAAGGAAAAAGTAAAACTTATTGTTCGCAGATGACATGATACTACATAGAGAGAATGCTAAAGATTCTACCTAAAAACTATTAACTGATAAATGAAGTCAGTAAAGTCGCAGGGTACAAAATTAATATTCAGAAATCAGTTGCATTTCTATACACCAATAACAAATTATCAGAAAGAGAAATTTAAGAAAACAACCCCATTTACGATTGCATCAAACAATAAAATACCTAAGTATAAATTTAACCAAAGAGGTAAAAGACCTGTACTCAGAAAATTATAAGACATTGAAGAAATTGTAGAAGGTACAAATAAATGGAAGCACATACCGTGTTCATGAATAGGAAGACTTAACATCATTAAAATGTCCATACTATCCAAAGCAATCTATAGATTTAATGCAATTCCTATCAAAATACCAATGGCATTTTTCGCAGAACTGCAAGAAATAATCCTAAAATTTATATGGAGCCAGGAAAAAAAAACCCTGAATAGTCACCAGCAATCTTGAGAAAGAAGAACAGTTGGAGATATCACAATACGTGATATCAAACTATATTACAAGGCTACAGTAATCAAAACAGCATGGTACTGGCATAAAAACGGACACATAGATCAATGGAACAGAATAGAGAGCCCATAAATAAACCCACGCACATACGGACAATTAATCTATGAATAAAGAGTACAGAATATATAGCGGGGTAAAGACAGCCTGTTCAATAAATGGTGTTGGGAAAACTGGACAGATACATGCAAAAAATATAACTGAACCACCTTCTTACACCATATACAAAAATAAACTCGAAATGGATTAACAACTTAAATGTAAATCTCTTAGAAGAAAACATATATAGTAAACTCTCTGACATCGCTCTTAGTAATTTTTATTCTGATGTATCTCCTTGGGCAAGGGAAACACAAGAAAAAATAAACAAATGGAACTACATCAAACTAAAAAGTTTTTGCACAGCAAAGGAAACCATCAACAAAACAAAAAGACGACCTACTGAATGGGGGAAGATATTTGCCAATGATACATCCAATAAGGGGTTAATATCCAAAATTTATAAAGAACTCACTCAATGCCAAAAATAAATAAATAAATAAAAAGAAAAACCCTAACGATCCGATTAAAAAATGGGCAGAGGACTTGAATTTCTCCAAAGAGGACATAGAGATGGCAGATAGACATATGAAAAGATGCTCACTGTCACCAATCATCAGAAAAATGCAAATCGAAACCACAATGAGCTATCACCTCACACCCATCAGAATGACTATCATCAAAAAATCAACAAATGATGAAGATGTGAAAAGGAGCTCTCGTGCACTGTTGGTGGGGTTGCAAATTGGTGCAGCCACTACGGAAAACAGTATGGAGGTTCTTCAAAAAATTAAAAATAGAACTCTCATGTGACCCAGCAATTCCACTTCTGGGTATTTATCCGAAGAAATCCAAAACACTAATTCGAAAAGATATGCACTTCTCCGTTCACCGCAGCGCTATTTGCAATAGCCAAGGTATGGAAGCCACCTAAGTGCCCATCAATAGACTCTTGGATAAAGAAGAGGAGGTACATACATGCGATGGAATATTCAGCCATGAAAAAAAATAAAATGAAATCTTAACCATCTGCGACATCATGAATGGACCCGGAAGGTATTATGCTAAGTGAAATAAGTCAGACAGAGAAAGACAAATACCGTATGACTTCACTTATATGCGGAATCTAAGGAACAAAAGAAACAAAAGAAACAGACTCATAGATACAGGGTTGCCAGATGGGAGGGGAGTACGGGGTTAAAGGGGTGAAGGGATAAAGAAGTACAAATTGGTAGTTATGAAAGTCACGAGGATGCGAAGCATGGGCAATATAATCAGTAACATGATACTAAGTATATCTAGTGTCAGGCAGGTACTAGACTAGTCGGGGGGATCACTTCATGAATTATACAGATGTCTTACCACCATATATCTGAAACTAATATAAAGCAATATCGACTGTCAGTTATCATTGAAAAATCAAAAAGGCGGGGCAAAGGGTTGTGGGGAATGAGGAGTTTAAACTTGCAGGTTCAGAGCGGTGGCTCCTGGGAATGTGTGCACTGTGGGGAGTGCGGTCAGTGATCAGTGGTATCGTGGTGGCATTGTGTGGTGTCATAGTTGCTGGACTTGTGATGATCGCTTCTTTAAGTGTATGGATGTTAAGTAATGGGTGTGCACTTGGAACCAATGCACTATTGTGTGCTAGCTATGTTTTAATAAAAATCTTGGAAACAGGTGGATAGATAGATAGATTAGATAGATGGATGATAGATAGATGATAGATAGATAGATAGATAGATAGATAGATATGAAGTCACTACAAATGGGAGAAAGGGGCCCTGAAAGATCAAATGAGGCAGACTTCTGAATATTTTAAATTACTATTGAATGGATGGATAATTGGATTGATGATGGGATGGATAAATAGATAGATAGATAGATAGATAGATAGATAGATAGATAGATAGATAGATTAGATAGACAGATAGATACATAGATACATAGATAGATTAGATAAGATAGATGATAGGTAGGTAGGTAAGTAGATATGATTGATTGATAGATAGACAGGCAGACAGACAGACCGACCAACCAACCAACCGACCGCCTGACTGACAGACAGATTACAGTGTTTCCCAGGCTTCCTTCTCCTAGGCTGGTCCTGAACACCAGTGTACTTCCTACCACTTCTTAGGCTGCCAGAAGTCCTACTTCGTTTCTGCTGCTTCTTAGTCTCTGGTCTCCATACTGAGTGTAAGTTTGCAAATGCAGACTTTATGCTACACATAGATGTAGTTGTCTTTTCTGCTTAGTGTTTCTAGTACTTCTTGAATTAAGGATTCACTTGAAAGAAAGGATTCACTTCAAGGTATTTTTCTTCTCTTTGAAACTTTGGCTTCATAGCTTCTGGATGCCTTGGTTTATCTCTGATGCCTTCAAACAGATATTCTTTCTGTATTTTATCCAGATTTTTTTAGTTGTTCCCACTAGGAGAGTTAGTCTCACACAAGCCGATTGTCATAGAAGAAAGCAGAAACTCTGTCTCATTTTTTATGGCCTTATCGAGGATGATGAGTTGACCAGAAAATTATTCCTTTTAATGTGTCAGCCTCAGTATTAAAAGTCGAAAGAGGTCAGACCATAAGGTACTTAGGCATTCTCTAGGCCAAATCCCGATGTTACCAGCTTCTACCTCTAACTTAGTCTTAACTTCGCAAGCAGACCAGTTCTCCATTAGCTCATAGCAAATTGTCCCCAAAACAGTGCCTTAAAACAACGCCATTTACTTGCTCATGGCTTGGGTTAACCATTTGGGTGAGGCGCAGCTGAGTGGAACTGCTCCATGTGGTCACAGGCTGGGTTCACGCACGCATTTTCAGACGGTCAGTAGGTTGGCCAGGGGATGGCTCATGTCCCTGGTGTCCTCATTCATATTTTTTGGCAGCGAGCACCTTGATTCTCTACCCTATGGCGTCCAGTGGGACAGCTCAGGTTTTTTATGCGGTGCTTGGGAAGTCTCTGCTTGCATCATACTTGCCATTTCCCTTTGACCAACACCCAAGAACCAGTTCATGGTCATGTGGGAGGAGACTATGCGAGGGCATGGATAGCAGGTGGTGAGATTCGTTGGGGTCATTAATGTAACAACCCAGCACAGCAAGTGAGATAATATCTCAGTTTAGCTAAAATAAGCACCCACCCTACCCACTATAACAATATTAGAGAAAGTCCTGGTTGTGGGAATCTCACTTATTTTCAGAAGACATGTTTTGAGTACTTAAATAACTCTGTATATTTTATTACTCTCCTATTTGAGATTGGACCAGTTCAGATCACCAGCCCATCACCAGAAAAGAGGTTAGGATATCATATTTTGAGTAGCATGCAAAAAACATAAAACAAGGTAGATCGTGGGACCTGCAGAACAGACTAGTCTTTGTCCTTAAGTCAATATTTTTGAATGCTTTTTCCAACTTACCTCTCAGTCAACTAAATAAGGCAGTTACACCTGTTGTAGTTAATTCACATTTAAATAAAATGTTTAACTTGATTTTGAAATTCTTGTCCACCCTCTGAGAAATAAAATATCTCAAAATATTATCTCCGATTTCAGAAGTTGAAATGTAAAGCGTTATTATTTGGGAGAGTTTTGTGTAACATAAATAGGAGCAATACTTTTAATCCTTAAAGTGAGTTGTTTATATGGCGACATTAAAGTAGTGAATACCCTTATTTTTCTCAGCCCCTGCTGCCATCTCAGTACTGGTACTACATCCTGGAGATGAGTTTTTATTGGTCTCTCTTATTCAGCCTGGGCTCCGATGTCAAGAGGAAGGTAAGTGTCTTCTTTACGAAGCTACTTTATTTGTTTGTTCAAAAAATTTTATCCCCTGCCCCAATCCTAATCTTTAAATTGTATTTTTGTGTGTGTTTAGTTCCAGATCATAGCTTTTTTGCTTTTTATAACACATAGAATAGTGTGAATTATGCTCATGCTTGGCTGGCTTGGTAAGTATTTGTAGTGAAACATCACGGCATCTTTAATTTCGAAGATAATTGAGTCATTTTCTCAAAGGATAGAATTGAAAATAATCATTTTTAGGAAGGTCTTCATAGATATACTTGGGTAGGTTGATGATTCTTTCTTGATTTCTTATAATGATTCTTTCTTGATTTCCTGCTTTGTCATTTACAAGTGCATCGGGTACCTTTACAAAAATTAAATGTAGATATTTGTTAGATGTTTGTAAACACATATCATCAGAGACATAAAACTATTAGGAGTCGGGTAAAGAACAGGCTCTGGGGGCAGATTGCTTGGCTTTAAATCTCTGGCTTCCCCGCTTGAGTTAATTGGTTAACATCTCGAGTTAATTGGTTAACCTCCCGAAACTCGACTTCCTTAGTCCCTGTCTCCTCTGCTTGCTGTGACGATTAAGCAAGTTAATCCATATAAAGCACTTCCTGGCATACAGTAAGTGCTCAATAAATTAGGCTAATATTACTTTCATGTTTACTCTTTTACTTTGGCTATAGAGAAACTGAAACCTTTAAGCTTAAAAAAAAAACATTTTTATTGAGATATTCACATGCCATACAATTCATCTTTCTAAAGTGCATAATTTAGTGGTCTTGAGTGTACTCACAGAGTTCTGCGGTCATCACCCCAGTCAATTTTAGAACATTTTCCCATTGCTCCCAACTTCCGCAGCCCTAGGTGCCCACTAATCTACTTTCTGTTTCAATGGATTTGCCTCTCTTGGACAGTTCATGTAAATGGAATCATACGATATGCAGGGTTTATATATATATATATATATCTGGCTTCTTTCACTTACCGTAATGTTTTCAAGGTTCATTCATTCTGTAGCATGTATTAGTATTTAATTTCTTTTTATTGCTGAATAACAGTCTACTGTATGGATATGCTGCATTTTGCTTATCCATTCGTTAGTTGGTGGATATTTACATTGTTTCCATCTTTTGGCTATTAGGAATAATGCTGCTATGAACATTCATATAGAAAATTTTGCATGGACATATGTTTTTATTTCTATCTAAGAATGGAATTACTGAGCTATATGGTAATTCTGTGTTTAACCTTTTGGAGAATCGTCAGACTACTTAAAACATCATTTCACATTCCTCCTAGCAATGTATAAGGGTTCCAGTTTCTCCACGTCCTTGTCAACACTTGATATTTATCATGGCTATCCTGTTAAGTGTGAAGTAGTATCCCATTGTGGTTTCGATTTGCGTTTTCCTGATGGCTAATGAGTTTGAGCACATTTTCATGTGCTTATTGGCCATCTGTATGCCTTCTTTACAGAAAACCTTTGAGTTTTTGCGCTCAGTTGGGGTGACTTCCCTCAGCCTGGCTTTGCGAGCAGAGTTCCGCTTTCATTTGTTACTTCTTTCATATGGAGTAACTCTTATTTTAATGGTTGTGTACTTTTGTTATATGTCTCTTGTTTTTTCCGGAATTAGACAGGCGATAGACAATAAAGGTAAATGTACACGGGAATATGCGTGTGTGTGTGTGTGTGTGTGTGTGTGTGTGTGTGTGTGTCCGACGTGGGGCATTGGAAGAGTGATGGATGTTAGTGTTTAGATGACAACTATTGAACGCTCTGTCAAAGCGACTTCATACGTGAGGACAGTTCTTCCCCTAGCTCCCTCACGAGGATTACGTTTAAGAATTAAAGTGAAAGCATTTCACTAATTTTAAAACATGCAGCTGTAAGTTATTAGTGTCTTTAAGTTAGTATTAGTATTAGTGTAGTATTAGATCGGGAAATAACCGCGTTTGCTTAATGGTTTCCGTTGCGCCCTCGTTGTGTAGGATTTTCTAGCTCACGTCATCCACCACCTGGCTGCTATCAGTTTGATGAGCTTCTCCTGGTGTGCTAATTACATTCGCAGCGGAACCCTCGTGATGATCGTGCACGACGTGGCCGACATTTGGCTGGAGGTAAACGTTTGCCATTAAAATGTTAATGACGATACCACGTCTTGGGGGCTCTGTGACGCCTCACGGGAAGCGTCACGTGCGAGCGATCCGGCAGGGCTCTCTGTCCTGAAGACGCGCCCAGTCCACAGTTGTCTCCGGGGGGTCCCCAGATCCTTCAAGCTCAAAGAAATGAAACCTTTAGATTTTAATTTACAACCTTCTTTCTTCATGATGCTCGAGAGAGGTTCATTTGTGGGATTCCACTTGCGGATGTAGATGCTAGCTCGGGAGGTAAGCTGAGATATTTGAAGATGGAACAAACTCTAACCTTTTAAAAGGAAAACTTGGACTTAAGGCACTCTGGGTTTTTAACATTGGATGACACCATATATTGACTTAAGCCAAAGCCGAATACCCGTTGGATGCCTGCACTGCCCTACACTGGTGCTTAAAAGCTTTTTTATCTAAATGACATTTATTTTCTAAGGAGGGAATGTTTTGGAGGAAGGGACATTGAAACAAGAGTCTTTCTAATCCCAAACCACACAAAATACAAGGAACGAAGCAAAATTAGGCCCGTTTCCTCTCCACGTTTCTGTTACGTACTGGCTCCTGCTCGCCCTCGGGCACTGGTCCAGTGGCCCTCTTAGCTGCCAGCTGTGCTGCTGTGCCCAGAGCCACATCCTCAGGGCCAGTTAGTTCATCATTTAAACATGATCATTTATCATGAAGCTGGGGAAAGGATGCTAACCCGGTTCACATCCAGGATTGCCTCTCGAAGAGCCAATTATTAAATATAGGTAATATAGACGAAATTAAATGTAAGGGAATAGAATCTTGTTCTAGATCAGGGTTCAGCAAACTTTGGGAAAGGACCAGATAATATATCTAGGTCTGTGTACCACTTAGGATCTCTTGTCACGTATTTTGTTTGTTTGTTTGTTTGTTTCTTTTCTTATACCCCTTTAAGAATGTGGAAACCATTCTTAACGTAAGACCAGCTTTAACCCATCAGCTGGACTATAATTTGCCAAACCCTGTTCCAGTTACAACCGGAAGCCATTTGAAGCCATTTTAAAGCAGCAACTGGCTACTATTAAAATGTTATCTGTGCGGAGCATTTTGATTCTCGTGTGTAATCGTAATCAGACATGTGAATCCCATTCTGAAGGTCAAGGTTGTTACATTTGCTTCAGGGCAGCAAATGGCTCAGCCAAGGAAGGATCGTGCCAGTTTGGCATGTGTGACTGCTCTTCGAATGTGGCTTGTAATCACCCGCTACTCTGCTCACATGTCAGTAACCCAGCCTGAAAATTAAGACCACATTGGCCGTGACTTAAGGATTTTATGCTACTCTGTTGCTTCTGATCCCTCTGGTTCAATCACCTTCGGTGTGTGACCACTGTTAAAACGGCTTCATCGTGTTGTTTAAAGGGAGTTAGACGCAGAAACTGGAAATAAGAGCCGGGTCGTCTCCACCCTCCCCGACCCTGTCATCGACAGGACACAACTCATTAGTCGACCGGGCCAATCGCTTCATGCTTCGTGTTCTATTCTCAGCTGTAACGTGAGAGGCCACATCTAACCCTTGGGTATATTTGTGAAGTTTAGCTCATTACTGTTAGAAAATGTTCTGAGGGCCTTGGGTAAAAAAAAAAAAAAAAACAGAAGAAAAACGAAATGTCAAGCTCAGATCCCTTTGCGGGTGGAATATGAGAACAGCTTCGTGTTGTTAATGGTCATGAATCACTCGCGATTGACCAGTCACGATAAATATTTGGGGTTCAGTGAACAAGGCCAGTTCCTCCCATCAACCGATGGTGGAGGCGCCACTAAGTGGGGGCCAGTTTTTGGTGCTCTCCAGGGGTGCCCGTCCCGCCGCGTCCTCGAATAGTTTGTTTTAGTGTGGGTCCTCTCAGTCAAGTTCTAATTGAACCCAGACATGGTATAACTGGTTTCCCTGTTTAGACCTTCCTAGGGATGAGACTATTAATCTCTCATAGTCCTCGAGACAGTTGGCGGGTCATTGCTTAGCTCTTCATTGGCCAGGAAAAACAGCCTCAACGTCAGCCATTCATACTCATGGGCCACCTTTTGTCTCCTTTGTACATCTTCTCGACCCTGTTTTCCACATGTTCAAGTTTAGATCCAAGGCCCAGCACTTGAACAGTGTCCTGACCGATGCTTGGCAGAGGAGAGGGTTACGGTCTGAGGTCCATCTTTGCATGGTTGGGACGGGCCGTACGTGTTTTGCCCAGAGGAGCGAGTGCTCCTTGGCCCTCACAAGGAGCCCTCGTCACGGCTACGTACATCTCTAGCTACCCCCCTGGCCTAGCCGCTAGCCCTTCAGGGGACAGCTCCCCCTCCATTCCAGGCACTCTAAACACCTGGCCTTTCTCTCCTCGCTCATCTCCCACCCACGTGGCCCCCTCGCCTTCTAGCTCACAGTTGAGACTCTTCTCTCTGGGGGCCTCCGGCAACCCCATAGTCTGATCGTGTCCTTAGCCCGTGGCAAGTATGCAAAAGTGTGGGAAACGCAAGGCAATGCAGACCATTCCTGCAGCATAAATATGCTGCCTCTCTTGTCCTGGCGGGGCCTTGAGCTTCCAGGGTGACTTCAGCTCCGAGAGCATCTGGCCTCAGCTGTACTCCCTAGGGATGAGCTATGCTCAGCCACTCCCACCCCCAACTCCAGACACTTTCCCATTCAGCTTGGGCTCCACCGAATAATGCAAGACAGAATCCTCCTCAGGAACCTTCCGAGACCACATCAAAACACCTTTCTGTAATTCTTTTTCTCCGACATGATAATATGAGCTGTATAGAGCAGCATAAAGTAAAGAGAGAAAATCGAGCGCTCAAAAGTTGATTTCAACGAGAACGAGGCCCCAAGAGTTGCCTCTGGACTCTGCCCCTTCTGTCGCCTGCCTTGACCACAGCACCCCAGCACCCCCTGGGACTTCTTCACGCATGTCCCAGCCTTTCGTCAACCCGGCTCTCCTCCTGGTCAAATACAGAAATCGAATCGAGGCTCAAATAAAAAGCATGCTCAAATTAATTATGCTAATTTGTAGCACTGGTGAGACAGGAATAATATTATAGTCATTTCAACATACCTTTTCTTAACATTAGGTTATGGGAATTTCAAACATATGACAAGAGAAAGAAACGAGTGTAATGGACCCAAGGGACCCGCCATCGAGCTCTGACCGTTATCAAAATGGCCGGTCTCGTTTCATCTATTTGCCCATTCGCGCTCCACCCCCCACCCAGATTATTTTGATGCAAATCCCAGATATCATATCATTGATGAATATTTCATTTAAAAATTTTATACTAACATCACTTCGTCTGAATACAATTTTTTTTCTTTTTTTTTTTTAGTCTGCTAAGATGTTTTCTTATGCCGGATGGAAGCAAACCTGTAACACCCTGTTTTTCATCTTCTCTGCCATATTTTTCATCAGCCGCCTCGTTATTTTTCCCTTTTGGTGAGTAGAGAAGATGCTGGGCCATGCCGTTTGGTCACTGTGGTGAGGTGGCCTTGACACGTGGTTCAGGTCCCATCGTTGCTCTTTCTTATGTTGATCTCCAGTTGTTTGTGCCAAGTTCGGTTGGAGAAAAGACTGTAAAGGGGCCGTTTCTTATATATAATTAACACAATTCCTTCCAGTGTGGAAAAGGGAGATGGGAAATGTGTAACCCAATGGGTAAGCGGAGACTCTTACTCTACGTCTCGTTTCGTGAATACGGATCTTTCCTTGTGATTAACAGCCTTTCTAGTTATTTCAGTGAAATGTCATGGGCCAATTATCAGCTCTTTAAAAGAGAGGCATGTTCCATGTTAAAATTACAATAGTCGTAACCACCATTAACTGCATGCCAGACACAGGCGTGGGCCCTTTATATTCTCAGCACTGGTCTACACAACAAGTCATAAAGCAGGTATTATCACTCCCCGGTCACAGATGGGGAAACTGCTCCTCCTCTTGTTTTCCATGATCACTGTCCCTAACAGTGGCTTGGATGGCCTTTTAGTACCGATTGGCTCTTGATCCATCTGTTGATTCTATTTAGCTCAGGGCTGACAAGGCAGAACCTATATCGTGTCTCCCTTGACAATTATTTCTTCAGCAAACGTAATTTCCCTTGTGATGATAGACAGAAACCAGAGGAAAAAATGTGAGGAAGCCCTTTAATGCTTTGAAAGAAACAGTTGATAACTAGCCATAGTTTGGGGCTAAATCTAGGATCCTCTCAACTGAAAAATTAGTGCTACTGAAGAGCCTAGCTCCAGGGCAAAGAGATGGAGACCCAAGTTCAAGGTGGGATTCCTGGAGGATGGACGGCGCCCTTGACTAGCACCCAAGGAAGTCTCATCAGAGAGGTGAAAGTGTGCTGCCCTCCCCGTGGAAGCCAGCTGCATCTTTAAACCAGGACCGGGCGTCTTGATTTGACATTTCCTAGAGAGGAGAAGCAGAGTGCTGGGGCCAAGGTCATGGACACGAGAATTCAAATTCTGGCTCCACGCCGGATAACATCATTTCTCTGAGTCTCAGTTTTCTCATCTGTAAAACAGAAATTAGGGGTGTCCCGTGGCTTACCTGAAGTGACACATGTAAAACAGCTTAGGACAGTGTGACATAGTAGGACTAAGTGAATGCCAGCTATAGTTACTAAAATTATTGAGTCTTCTAGAATTTGGAGTTTAACCTAGAGTCAAATCTGAGAGACATTTAAGATACTCTTCTTGGTTGACGAACCACGTTACCATCACTTTCACTTTGGCTGAGCAAATATATCTGTGAAATCAGAATATTGTATGATGGTAATTGATGATAGAGTAAGTATTGACTTGCAGATAACAGTTGAGGTTTGGCTTTTCAGTGTGACTTTTGGGGTGCCCTAAATCCAGCGTTTGCCCATCGATGATGTACCAGAACAACCACGTGTTCTAGTAACCTGTAGCTGCGTAACAAACCACTGAAAACTTAGTGGCTTATGACAGTGGTGAGCAAACTTTTTCTGTAAAGGACTAAAAAATAAGGATTTTAGGTTTCGAGGGCCACATATAGTCTCTGTTGAGTATTTTTCTGTTTTGTTTCTTTCACAATCCTTTAAAAATGTGCCAAACCCAGCTGAGCTCACAGACTGTAGCAAAACAGGTAGCAGGCCAGATTTTACCCACAGGCCGTGGTTTGCAGCCCTGACTCTTAAAACTGCAACATTTATTCATTATTATTGTCTCTTATGGTTCTGGGAGTTGACTGGCCTCAACTAAATGGTTTTCATTTACGTGATTGCAGTCAGATGATAGCTGGGTAATCAGCTGGACTTTGCTCACATGGTTGAGGGAGCCATACAGAATCAGCTGCTTGCTGGGGACCTCAGCTGGACCAGTTACCTGGAACACCTGCCCGTGGCCCCTCCATTGGCCTGAATGCTTCATAGCATGACAGCTGGTTTTGGGCAGCGAGCAGCTCAAGAAAGAGCTAGGCAAATGCTTTATCCTCTTTTAAGATATAGCTTCAGAAGTCACGTTACGTCACTTCCAATCCCATTTTCTTCCTTGGATCCGGGTGTCAAAAGCCAGCTCATATTTAAGGGAAGACAAATTAGATTCCTAGATTTATTGATGGGAGTGGTTTCAGAGAATTCGTGGACCAATTTGAAAGGCACATGACCTGGAAGCCGTCAGTCTAGGTAGCTCTCTGAGATGCTTCTAACTATGGCTCCTGTGGTTGACCTTTGATTTAGCGATGAAAGACATTCACCTCAGACTTTGCCATAATGTCTCAAAGTCAACAAGCAAGCGTACTCTCGCCCAGTAAAGAACTGCACATCACATTGGGGTTGAGTGACTACTGGGGTGCAACTTACCCAGATATCCTCATCTCAAAAATCCTAGATTTAAGAACTTAGTTTCTTGCCAGTATTTCTGGATTTCAAGGAGAATTAGTTACATGCATTTGGCTCTTTCTTGATCTTGATACTTCACTGAATTCAGAGAACAGCCAATACCACTGTTTGCTATTCTCAGGGAGCTGGGCTGCATAGAAACCAGTATTAACAGACTTGACTGTACAAATTTTTTTGCTGGTAAAAATTGTCCTATACTAATGTTGACCGATCCACATGTTTGGAAGGCTGAGCTAGTGGACCTTTGGGAGAAGGGTTTTCGTGGTTTTCGAAAGAATCAGTTGAAGCGTCGCAGTGTAATGCTCTAGCTTAAATAGTCTTCCCATGGGCTCGGACATTTTATGTCATCATCTCGTGGTGCCAAAGAGAAAAAGTCAGTTCCTCGTCGTGAGCCTGGCTCCAACCATGTGTCTTAATCTTGTAATTCTACAGACTCATTTTTCAAGGATATTTTATCGGTCCGGATTTGTTGTGAATTTAACGTGGACCTAACAGCATGCAAATGATAGACTTATTTCCCGATCCAGATGTTCGGAGGCACTGTGGGGGGCAGTTTGTCTCTCTGTTCTTCTCAACTGCTTTTGTTATACGTTTTGCTGGGAGAGAGAAAGGGTTGAGTCCAGGAGAAAGCGGACCCATCTAAAATTTGTCTGGAAATGCTGAGAAAAAAATCTGGAACTTATACATTATTTTTCTTTGACTTTCCCTTAATTTCACCCTGTCTCGAGCACATCTGCTATCCTGCAAAGAGTTTCCTTCTGTATTTGTATGACTAACGGTGGCCCATCTGTTCCTCGTCTCTTTTTTTCTATTTTTCAATGTCGGCATATTATTTTTAATTTTTTTTTTTCAATTACGGTCAGCATACCCTATTATATTACTTTCAGGTGTATAGCATAGTGATTAGACACTGATATAACTTGCGAAGTGATGACCCCGAGAAATCTAATATCCTCGGATACCTTATACGGTGATTACAGTGTTATTAACTGTATCTCCTATGCTGTCCTTTACATCCGCATGACAGTTTGTAACTACCTATTTATATCGTACTTACGTTTTGCCACCCGCCACCACACCCCGCTCCCCTCTGGCAACCTTGAAAATGTTCTCTGTATCTATGAGTTTGTTTCTGTTTTGTTTGTTTATTTTGTTCTTTAGATCCCATATGTAAGTGAAATCGTATGGCCTTTGTCTTTCTCTGTCCACCTTCCTTCACTCAGCACGATACCGTCTAGGTCCATCCATGTTGTTGCGGATGCAAGAGTTCATTTAAAAAATTTCTTATGGCTGAATAATCTTCCATTGTACCACCTCTTCTTTATCTATTCGTCCATTGATGGACACCCAGGTTGCCTCCATATCTTGACTATTAAAGTAACGCTGCAGCGAACACATGGATGCATATGTCCCTTTGCAGTAATGTTTTGGGTGTCTTTGGATATATAACCAGAAGTGGGATTTCTGGGTTCTTCTTTTCTCTTCTTATACCCTTTGTTCTAAAGTCTATTTTGTCTGATATGATTATTGCTAGCCTAGCTTTTTTGTTTGTTTCTGTTCTCATGAAATATCTGTTTCTATCCTTTTACCTTCAGTCTGTGTGTGTCTTTCAATCTGAAGTGAGTCTCTCGTAGGCAGCATTTGTAAGGGTCTTGTTTTCTTATCCCTTCGGCCCTCCTGTCTTTTGATTGGAGCATTTAATCCATTTACATTTAAAATAATTGTTGATACGTAGTTATTGCCATTTTATTATTTAAATTTTTCTTCTCCCCTCCTCCTCGTTCTTCTTCTTTTTCCTCTAATATTTCTCGTAATACTGGTTTGGTGGTGACGAACATCTTTAGCTTTTTCTTGTCTGGGAAGCTTTCGATTCTAAACGAAAGCTTTGCTGGGTAGAGTAATCTTGGTTGTAGGTCCTTGCTTTTCCATCATTTTGAATATATTTTGCAAATCCCTTCTGGCCTGCAGAGTTTCTGTTGAGAAATCGGCTGACAGTCTTATGGGAGCTCCCTTCTAGGTAACGAATGGCTTTTTCTCTTGCTGCTTTTAAGATTCTCTGTTTGTCTTTAGCCTTTGGCATTTTAATTATGATGCATCTTGGTGTGGGCCTCTTGGATTCATCTTGTTTGGGACTCTCTGTGCTTCCTAGGCTTTTATGTCTACTTCCTTCACTATTTCTTCTAATAGGTTTTTAATTCCTTGTTCTCTCTCTTCTCCCTCTGGTACCCCGGTGATGCAAATATTGGGACTCTTGATGTCCCAGAGGCTCCTTAAACTATCCTCATTTTTTTTTTGATTCTTTCCTCTTGTTGCTGTTCTGATTGGGTATTTTCTGCTACCTTATCTTCTAAATCACCGATTCGACTCTCTGCTTCATCTAATCTACAGTTGATTCCCTCTAATGTATTCTTCATTTCAGTTATTGTAGTCTTCATTTCTGACCAGTTTTTCTTTATGTTTTCTAATGCCGTTTTTATGTTTCCTATCTCTTTGTTAAAGTGCTCACCGAGTTTGTCTACTCTTCTCCAAAGTTCATTGAGCAGCTTATAACCAGTGTTTTGAACTCTGTATC